CCCCCCTCCCCTACAGATTCGAGGTTGCTGGACAGCAGCACGCTGGAGACTGATTTGTTTGCCCACGGATGGCTGCCGTGGCAGGGCCGCGTCGCCGCGTCCCTGATCTTCGGTTTTCCAGCGGACCGTTCGAGCAAGTCTGGCTTCCCTGCTGCTAACGCTGCTGCCGGGATACAGCTGAGGAGGAGCTGGCTGCTAATGCTATGTACTGGGACACTGCTAATGCTGCTTGCCGTGCTGCTGTAGCTCAGTCGTAACTGTAACTGATGCTGAGACTCTACTGACTGTGTGACTGGTAGACGGCGGTGGGTGGCGCAACAGCCAAAACACAAATTCAAAACATAAACATGATTTGCGGGCCGTAAAATTTTTTTTAAATGCAAATATTCTGGCTGTACTATTGTTGTCGGTGAGATCAGTATGTTATATGAACATTATTCCTTAGTCTCTGTGACATATTAGGAGGATTTTATGACTATTTGCTTTAGATTTCTTACATATAGCTCCTTTAAAGGGTTAGTTAGGATTCACCAAAGACACACAATAACACAAACAAACTACTGATAAAGGCAGCAACAGACCAGCAGCTCCTTGTTTTCAGCTAGGTAAAATTACTGTTTTTGTCAATGGAGATAAGTTTCAATGTCAGTTCAGTCCCTGGTCGGACATGGCAGTCTGTTTGGGAAGTACAGAGCATACGACTGAATAAGTGAGACTTGAATTATACTGCACAAGTTGTGTGACAGTTTGTAAACGAATGTTTTGATTTGCTTTTGCTGTTGTTAAACATGGACCATATTATTTAATTCTTCAGAACTTTTTAATTTTTTGGATTCTTCGGTCACAGTGAAGGCATGCGAGAAAAACAATGTTTCTTTTAACAAATTCAACATAACATTAGATGGGAGTAATCAATACAAAAATAGTCATTTTGGGGGTGAAGTATTCCTTATACATTGTTTTAATCCCAGTTTTGAAGAGTTTGAGCCTGAGGCAGGTCACTTTGTCAGATACTGAAGGGCTGTTAATGTTCTCTGGTCCTAATCAGCCTTTGTTGTGATGAAATCAACAACTTTCTCTAATTAGGAGGTTCATCTAGCTTTGATTATTGCACATCATCTACTGATTGAAAAATTGTGAAGTTATCTAGACAGCACTCATAATCATGTGATTGTACTTGCATGCACTTCCACATAACTCACAAATCTGGGCAGTAAATTTGGGCAAATAATACACTGTGGCGCTCCTGACAGATTTGTTATGACCTTCTAAAATAATAAGCAACTAGATTGTCATTGCTAACTTGATTTTTGACTTTTGCAACTCAGTTATTTTTTGTTCTATAAGCAATTTTTCAGTATACCTTAACGCCCAGGCCTCTTTGTGAACATCTCTGTTACTATAGAGCCTGGAGAAAGGCCATTAACATTCATTACCTCCTCAATCCTTGGGATGACAGCTTCTGGCCACAGTGTGAAGGACAAAAGCAAATGGTTGTTTGTACCTTGTCTCTGCTGGCGTCAGATCTCTGCTGTCTCTGTCTCCCAGCTGTTGCTTTAACAGGCTGGTTCATATTAAAGGGGGTTCATGGACTCAGGATGCAATTCTGAAAAGATGCAAAACAGCCTGTGATTCCTCCCACTGAGTGTACTTTTACAAGCTGAAGCAAGGACATGGACTGGTGTCTAGTGTGCAATATTTATTTCAATAAGCGTCTTGTCGTGACAAAGCTCAAGAATTGTGGGCCAGGATATTTCTGGGAGATTTCCAACACCTAAAGTCTGTTCAGCCCCAGATTATTTGTCCTAGGTGATGAATCGGTCTTCGTGGGATGAGACAAATACACTAGAAGTTGGGTCCAAACTAGTGTGGTGATAGGCAGACAGATTCTTCACAGAGTATTAAATTTGAAAAGATGTCCGATCAACTGTTTGGAAGATTGGATGTATATATTAGAATGCTGGTTCCCAAATGGTGGGTCAGGGTCTATTCTGAATGGACTACAAGTGACTCGCATGTGTCAGATTTGTAAAAAATACATTTTATTTTTAAGTTCAGTGAGTTTCTGGCACAAAGCTTTTAGAATGAAGTGGTGTTTCCTGCTGTAGAGTGAGTGACTAATGGACAGCTACCTGACAGAGACAGCAAACTAGCTCGATGACATGGCCAAACGCAAGTATATGTAAGCAAGCTGTATGTATTAAACTGTGTGGACCTTGAAATAATGACTAAGGGGAAATCTGGACACTGTGGCTGGACCAGTTGGGAACCACTGGATTAGAAAATGGGGCAAATACTTAAACTTCCTGGAGGGCCCTTGACATGGACCACAATTTGTAGGCAGTCGCATTTTTTTGTTTTGTGTCTTATTCTATGCCAAAAACTGAGCATAGCATTAGTTCAGGCAGGACACGATGTCAAGCTCAGCTCACATCCCAGCTACATCAGCTGATCTCAAACAGCCCAATCAACTGATGGAGCAGCTGATTGATGGAAGGGAATCAGCTGATAGACCACATGATTCCTTTCTATGCAACCAATTGGCGAATCTCATTCAGGGTGCCCTATTTAAACTGCTGTGGCCTGCCTACTGTTGCTGCTTCCTCTGCAAGCTGCTTTGCAACCTCCTCCTTTTCATGTTGTGTCTGACTTATCAGTGTCATTTCTGTTTGTCATTGATGCTGCTCTGTTTTGTTCCCGGGGGGTCTTAGCTGCTGCTCTCCCTGCCTTTGGCTTTCCATGTGGGAGCATGGAAGAGGCTCTCTGCGTAGACCCAAGGAAAGGCAGAGGCCCCAGAACAGAGCCATACGGCCAAATGTAATACTGCAAATGGAAATTAAGTTCTCTTTGACTCAGGTGTTCTCAACTGAAACATGTATTTATTTTGTACTTCCTTGTTTTGCGATGGTTTATTTGGTAAGTTTTGTCTCATTAAAAAAATGTGTCCACTGCATATGATGGAGAACGTCTATATTGTCAACCAAGGCTAATTGCATATACAGTGATGACAAATTGGATTGTATGGTGTGGTTGGTTTGTATATTTTGTGAAGCATTTCATTTTGTACTCTGTTAAAAAAAATAAATAAATAAACTCTGTTAAAATAATAAAAATGGTTAATCAAAGAAAAAGTTTCTTATCACCACTTTGACATACTGTTTTGTTACTTTTCCCAGGAAAACATCAACGTCGATGAGGCAGCACGTTTCCTGGTAGAGAATATCTTGGCTAATGACAAAGGTTTGCCGTATGAGGAGAGCAATGGAGACCGTATCAAACTGGACCAGGAGGCAGTGGCTGCTGAGAGCAAGTCAGGCTGCTGTTGACACTTGATCCATCCATATTAGCCATCCGCCTCCCTTTGGCAAGGTTCAACCCGGGCACCCAGCATGTGGCTCTCAGCGCTCTACTGCAGCCTCTCTGAGGAATATGAATTAGTGGGTCTTCAAAGCTCTGGGATCTTCTCCTCTCTGCACTGATGCCCGTTTGACCTGCACATCCAAGTTTCTCATAGTTGTCTTTTGACCAGAATAGAAGCCCAATTTTATCTTGATGTTGTCGCAACTGTTGTCACTGTCTCTATCGGACTGTTTCCTTCTTTGTCTCATACACAGCGTCTTTATTATTGTGTTTGTCTCGCTGCTTATTTTCCTGATTGTGTATTCCACCACCAACTAAACTATGACCCCCACCCAGCTCTCCATGCTGGGACCACACTGCCCCTCCTGTTGCCCCGACAACCTCTGAAGCCCTGGACTATGCCATGCCTGAGAAGGGGGTGCAAACTAAGCAGGAATTTAAGAAACACAAGCTCAAAAACAACCTGTAACCTCTTAATTTCTGCCACTTGGTCTTTTTTTATTTCAGTATCTTTGTCATTTAACATTTATCTGTGAAACAAGACCCTGTATTGTTTTCAGATGGACGTCAATGACGGCACACTCATATTTGGGTTTCCAGCTGCTTTCTAGACTACTGTGTAAAAAGTAAGCAAACAGGCATCACAGCTACACCTTATCAAGTGTAACATATCTCATTGTTGTCATGAACTGTTGTCTTAACGCCATTTCTTCTCTGACGTTACGTGCCATTATACAGTTTTTGTTATGTTAATTAGTGGGTACACTTTTTGTTATTCACTCAAACATGTACAGACACCACAAAGACGGACAATACAGTATTTCAGAAAAAACTCTAACAACGATACTACGAGACATTGAGAAATCTTTGTTTGATTGTCCACCAGTATGAAAATGTAGATCTGATTACAGTATGTATTTTCTCTTAAATGTGTTGGGTCATGCATGAGGCAACTGGTGAGATACATGTATAAAAACAGAATCAGACAGAGAAATACACTCTCTTGTACATTAAAGTATTCAGATGAAATATGAAGGATTTTTTTTTTTAAACTTGGAGTTGAGATTAAATTTACATGTGAAAATACTTTAAATCTACAAGACCAAAATAGAATAAACATTTTAACAGATTTGTGTTGTCCACTAGTGATTAGACTGGCTGATCTAGTTTATCTACTGCATTTATATATCCTCCCGAGACCCTGTGTCCTCATATGAAGACATCACATTTTGGGTTTACTTGACCTTATACTTTATTCTACTTAACTTAGACCTGTTGTCCTCATTCATGGACACCTTTCTGTGCAATCAAGTGGTAGTAAGACCACAATACACTAATTTGATCACATTTTAGGGTTGAAACTTGTTTATTTATGATTAATAATGTTTATAATTTGATACAGCAACAAATTTGACCAATTTTAGCAACAGTAACAAGCTAAGACACTGTTAATTAGGATGTACTCATTGGAAGACATTAGGACTTTATTATCGTCTCATTTGAGGACTTAATCATTGTTGACAATGTTTAGTTTTTTATACTTATCGGGTCCTACTGATCCCAAATAGACTGGGAGCTTGGGTTCGGGTCTCAGGAGGATATAACATAACAAAACACTGGAGCATTGGTTGGCCAACATGCCCCACATTATTCATAACTCAATCAATCATATGGCCTTCTGATAGAGAAGCTAAGTCAATGAATAAATGAGATCTGCACCATATACTTAAAGGGACACATTGCTGATTTTCAACCAGTTTTGTGTCATAATAATGTGGGTAGCATATGCAAATGAACTATGTTAAACTTCACTTTAGCTTACCAGCACCCAAATCTCCCTGCTCGCTTGTCAGAGAAAATCTGTCAGATGAAGAAGGTACTGTTGCTCGAACCACATCCTGTGCTTCCTCATTTTTGTGAAGGAGGTTAAAAAGAGGAGACATGGCGTCATATGACATCATATCCTTAGGGTACAGCACATGCAATCTGGTCTACAGTTGCTGAAAGGTTCAATACCTCGAGCACTATAATAGAACATATGGACATGGTTGAATCGTTTGATACGAAAAATAAAGATATGGGGGAGAATTAAAATTCTGCAATTACTGAAAAGTTCATTGATAAAAGACAATAAACAAATGTGTTCTTAATGAAAAGGTTTCATTATATATCCGCTACCATCAAGTTTAACCCTAACCCAAAAACCTTCAGTCAGGCCCAGCATGTCCAAAGAGGCCAAAACAAATGCACTCAAATAGCACCTGAGTCGACACTATGCCTTCGTTTCTAGCGCCGTCTTCTGTAACCCTTCAACACTGCAAATCCAGTACCACTGTACGTATGTAATACCTCATAGCTACTATGTGGTCAGAGAGCGTGTCCCAGTCTTTACTTAATAGCCTTCACTTTTGTATGCCCACCACTACCACAGAAACAACTTTCAGAAGCACATAGAAATAGAAAGCCACCTCTTTCCTCTTAACTCCAAAAAGTTAAAACTAGGCTGTTCTAATAAAATACAAGTCAAGATTCTGTGACTGCATTACCTATTTCTCACCTTAAATGTCTTCAGAAACATATTTTAGTGCACTGTTTAGCTGTAATACAAGAGTTTGTGAACAGGAAGTGAGCGACATACTGTTTCCTGTATTGCGTATTGAGAGTCTGACAATACTGAGATCAAAAGGTAAAACAAGGCAGCGCTGATCAAATATGAACCAAGATTCTGTTACTGCGTTGCCTAAAATGCCTTCAGAAATATATTTTAGTGCACTGTTTAATTGTACTATGAGATTGTTTGTGACCAACCAGCTGCCATGTTGCTTTTAAATGAGCTGAAACCATGAATGTATTAGGAGACCTGGATACAGCATTGGCAGGAGAGCTCCGTTTATTCCTTTGAAAGTTGCTAGGTGGAGCATGAAGCCAAAATCGCTCTGTTTACGGGGTATGAAATTACCCGGTTAATCAGCCCTGTGTCCGCATCATTTGGCCTATAGAGCAGGTGCACTCAAGACTTATAGCCGCTGAGCATAACCAAGCATGACCGAGCAGCCAGCAGATGACTTCCGATTTAGCGCTCCACTAGCTAACTTGGAACTGGGATGAAATACTTTAACCTTGTGGCTCTTTAAGACTCTCCAAATGCTATCAGACCAAATGGATTTAATCTTGATTATGGAAAGAGTCATTTTGTGGGGGTTGTGACATGTATCCACTGATATATGCATCTCATTCTTAATATAAGTCTATGGGAAACTTTCTGGGCCCAATAGTATGACATGAAGGATCGCGGAAATTGCAGTACCACTGTTTGGCCACTATGAAAATTGGCCTCAAAGGCTGGCACACTTCCTGGGGGTCTGGCTGAAACCAACTTGCTTCACCTCACCCACCAGCTGAAGTGTTTATTGGTCTGGTAAAGTATTTGTGTCCTTCTACCACACAGACAGCCCAGTTTTATGAAAAGACCATTTTTCCAGCAGTGAAATACTTCTTTAAAGCACAGCATTTGGCTCATATATAGTTCAAACATTTTGTTTCCCTGCATGGATATTATGTTTCTTTGTTCCGAGCAAATGTTTTAGATTATACAATTACCTGTTTTTAACAGGCACATAGAAATCTTGGTTTAAGCCATTCAAGCTGGGTTTATACTCATTTGAACAGATTTCCAAAACAGCACAAGCAATAATGCATGGTGCAGGCAATTGCAGGTTCCTGGGAGTTAGATCTAAAATGGCAGCAATGGCAGAGCTGCTGAAGCAACACTACAGAATGACAATAGTGGCAACATCAACTTTGAAAGCAGGCCTAAGTATTAGTCACCCTAATGAAAAGCACAGATTAAAGGCCACTGATGAGGACAATGGCTGTCATAAGAGTCAACCAAGTTTCACTTCCACAAACTCAACAGTGTACATTCTGTATAATCTGTCACTGTATGTGTGTCGAGCCAACGCTGGTAAACACAATACCTACAGTGTTATGTTTCCCTTGAAGAAACTAGTAGCACAAATGGATGAAGTTGTATGTGTGAAAGCTACAACTCAGACTGCCTGTGTGTGTGTGAGTGTGCGTGTGTTTAAGAGAGAGAGACAGGACCATGTGACTCCACTCAAGAATCAGTGTGTGATAGTCATCAGACACTGCTCTCACCACTACAGCTTGTGCTCTTACACACACACCTAACTGTTACCAGAGCTGGTATGCAATGGAGGCGTGCCAGTTGTTTAGTGTACAAGCATCACAGCAGCTATCATTGAGTGCTAATACTGCTATTCACGTCACCTCGTTAAAACACTTCAGCATGCATTTCAGACAGAGCTGGAGCCTTGACAGCTCACTGATGTATTGCTTTTCAGCTCTGAGTGTACTTCCGTGTTTCTTTGTAAGTGGTGCCACAATTGTGCGGTTCCGCAGAGTGAGCCATATGTGCATCACATGGTGACAGCCTTGAGGTAACACAATGCAATCCAATACCACGGCCTTCAGGAAGCTGCAGCCATTGTGATGCTTTTGCTGCTACACTTGGATCACAGTGGTGAGATGGACTGAAAGGTATTGATTCAGGCAAATTCTGAGGCTGTTTCCAATGTTTTGTCAGTTTATTTATAAAACAATAAGCCCACATGTTTAAAGGGATAGCTCAGATTTTTTGAAATGATGTTGTACGGTGTATTTATCTAGTAATTGTCAGTCAGCACGGCCCCAGTTGGAGAAGAAGCAGGCTGGAGTCCAACATGGAAGCTAAGACTGACATCTACTGTACGTAATAGACTGACTAGAGATAAGTACCCCATGCAACACTACTTAAAAAAAATCAAAACTACCCCTTAAGTATTGGTATTTACATTTTGTAGCTCTCAAGTAACTTTCTGTAAGGGACTGTTCTTTACTTATCAGAGAAGGAGGGTGTCTGGGGTGTGACATTTTGTTTTTTGATCCTCCCTGAAGCTACAAATATTTTTCCTTAAGCCTTCCTGAGTGATTGATGGAAAGTGCATGGCCCTCCCCTCCACCCAAAAATTACTTATTCATTTTTCAAAACTTACACTTTGATGTTTAAAAGTTAAAAATTGAAGTTGATGACGAAATCCTGGAGTTGAAAACCCTTTGGGTTTTCACTCTTGTGGTGTAAGCTGGACAGTTAATACAAATGCTTTATTGTTGGACAAATTTGAAATGAGTCTTAGAATAAAGTTATATTGATGAAATATTACTGTTTTTTACGTTCAGGTTTGGTTATGTTTTTTATTTGATGGAAGTGTTCATTGCATATAATGTCTCAGAGGACCATTGGAAATTTGAAAATCCAGCGATAATGTAAGGCAGGTTTCTCTCTCGTGTCTTACCTATAAACTTAAGAGTTACTGAATGTACTATTAAAGGGCTGTGAGGAGTGAAGTAAGTGCACAGGGACAGCTCCTCTGTGTAACTAGATCCACTTTAATGTCCAACAATAGAACATAGGACAACTGAACATCGACAACAATAGTGGCATCTCACATCTTATA